AAAATAGGGTTTGTTTTTTTTTTTGGCAAAAGAAAAAAAAAACGAAAAAAAATGCAATTAACTTTTTTTATATGCAAAATTTTTGAAAAAGAAAAAAAAAATTTGAAAGAAAAAGAAAAAAAAAATAGTTTTATAATTGTTTGAAATTTCAGCACAATTTATAATTTGCTACTTTATTTATCATTGATTTAGTTTACAATTAATTAATTTACTTTCATTCTATTTATACTTCACTTTTTTTTTTTTTTACTATAACTATCAAATATTTCATTTATCATATTATCATATTTGACATTTGTCATGTTCACAACTAATTATATAATAAATATATTTCATTGATTGATAAATACAAAAATTTAGTCTAATTTTAATCCTTCCTCTTTTTTTTCTATTTTTTTAATTTCAGTACACCAATTCAAAGTATTGATAGCGCTGTGGAAAGTTTGGATGATTCACCAAGTAATATACCAAAGTATCACAGTGGTACCCAACGATATATAATCGATGAACAACTACCAAATACTTCATTAAATTATGGTTTATTTTAAATTTAAATCATTTTTCGTTTTTAAAGAATATAGCGGAAATTTTGCTTTTTCATATTTTTTATTTATGATAATTTTGCTAAATATTTTAACTTCTAGAATTTGGGATTTTAGGTTAAATTAATCTGAAATTATCATTTTTAATTTGTAATCATTACAAAGCTTTCTTGAGCATATATAATGATATGATTGTGTGATAGTTAGCTAATAAATGAAATTTATGCTAATAATTTACAGTGGAAGAGCCAATTGATTACGAGAGGATAACATATCCTAGCAGTAGTGCACATTTTTCCGGAATATCGGCTCCATTCAGTGGTGAATCACGAAAAAAACCTGGTACTTGCTTAGTGGAAATTGTGGAATTTTAAAAAATTAAATTCTGAAAAATTTTTCAAAAACTTACTTCTTTCGTTTCATAAATTTAAAAGTTAATATGAAAATATGAAACTTTTTTTTTTAAAAATGAAAGAAAAGGAATCAATATCAATTTTAGGTATATGTTAAATTTTGAAAGAACTAATTTCAGGTATATGTTGAATTTTGAAAGGGCTAATTTTAGGTGTGTGCTGGATGGAGCAAGAACACGGACAATGGGAAAAGGGTTTAAGCTTAGCTCCAAATAAATCATTTCCGGAACGATGTAATTGTCATAAAAATACAAATTCAGAACCGGAAAATTGGTATATATGTATTTTTATTTTTTATACATAAATAATTGCATTGCATAACATTGCATTATCATTTTAATCGTTATAATTTAAACATTGAAGCTTTTTCTCTTTTCTTTTTCTTTTCCTTTTCACCTGAAAATTATCGTTTTTTTTTGTTTTGATTTTTCAATTATTAACTATTTTAAAATTTAAAAGACAAAGAAATTTTTTTTTCTTTTGGAAAATTTCCTTTTCTTTTTTTTTTTATTTTAGCTTTTTCTATTTTTGTTATTTTACAATTTTTATTTTAATGGGGGAAAAAAAAGGAAAAGCGAACTAATATGTGTAATAATATTAGGGTTGAAGTACTGGAAGCGCTTGAAACAGTTGGTGAAGCGGCAATGCTTCGAAAGTTAGAAGAATGCACAACTGGCGGCGGTAATGGTACAACGATAACATCACATACTCATAGCAATCCTTTAATAACCAGGTTTTTTTCAACTTCTTTTTCCTCCTTTTATCAACCAATTTTTTTCTCTTTTTTTCTAAAAGTGTTGTAAAATTAAATTTTGTAAATAATTCTGTTTTAATTTCCAATCTCACTATTGAAAGGAAGAATTAAAAAGTATTAAAATAGCGATAAAATAAAAAAGGAAAAACATTTAATAAAATATTCGAAGATGAATGTATTTTTCTAATAATTATATTATTATAACTTTTTTTTCTTCATCAACTTTATCAAGTTTATTATTATTATTATTATTATTATTATATTATTATTATTATTATTATTATTATTATTATTATTATTATTATTATTATTATTATTACTATTGTTTCTTTCTTTTTTTCTTTTAAATGTAAATTTTTCTTTGAACAAAAAGAAAAAGGAAAATGAACAAATTACATTTAATAATTATTTGCTTAAATAATATTTGATTGGTTAGAAAATAAATAAGAAAAAAGTTTGGAAATGATAAATTTACGAAATGAATAATTAGGATGAATGATAAGAAATGATTTAATCAATTATTTTATTTGTTTATTTTTCCTCTCAGAAAATTTATCTTTTATTTGTTTATCGATGAGGGAGAGAAAGAGATAGAGTGAGTGGAAGAAAGTAAGAAACCAAATATGATTTTATATTATTTCACAAAAAAAATTCTAATTTGCTTATTTATCGGATCGTTTCATTTTGATGAATCATTTCATGATCGTATAATAATTCATTTGAAATCATCAATTCTATTTGAAATTATAAAATGAATTGAAATTTAAATACAATAAAACTAATCATTTTATAGATGTAATGAGTCTGCAATTGTTCAACGTTCCGATTTAAGACTACCAGCTGGTGATACTATTGGACGACAACTGTATCCAGTTACTTCATCAACAGGTGCATTAGTTCGTCCTATGCTATCACCTTCCGTAAATTCGAAATTCTCAAAACTCGGAACACAACGTATGTCTTCTGTGTGTAATACATTACTTTAACCAAGAACTTTTCTTTTCTTTTTTTTTTTCCTCATCTAAAGTAAAGGTATTTGTAAAGTTTAAAATTTGTCAACAGAAAGAAAAAACAAATAAAAAAGAAAAATTTCAATTGCATGATAAAAAGATTTTTTTTTTTAAAATTGTTTATTTATTTCTTTGTTTATTTATATTTATTTGTTTATTTTTCATTAATTTATCATAATTTACGTAAGAACGTAAGACGTGAAAACGTGAGATGTTATATGTTTTTGCAGAAAGTGAATATTCGAGCAATGATCGAATGGATTCGTTAAGCCTTTCAAATGATTCGCAAACTAGTACATCACTTGGTGATGTATCGTATCATATGGTACCTCCAAAACCACCTCGTTATGGTACCAGTGATATACATGCTTTATCCGTCTTATCAGAACCATCAAATGTTAGGACTAGTATTTCAGGTGGTATATCACCACGTTCAATGCGCGAATCATCTAAGGTAATTGAGTAATGCTGAAATGTTTTAAAAATTATAATTTCAAATATAGAGATTTCGATTAATTTCTATAAGAAAATGCTATTATTTGATAAAATTGCTAATCAATAAATTGAATTGTTCATTTCACAAAGCAAAGAAGAAAAAAGAGATACTGATTTTTTTTTTTTAGAGAAAAGAAATAAAAGATATTCAATTCAAATATTATTATTATTATTTTTTTTGATATTATTTTAAAACTTAAACAATACAATCAAACAATAACTGACTTTTTTTTTCTGTTGCAGTCAAAAAATAACAAATTGTCACCACCATCTACAGCACTTGTACTTCATGAACTTAGTAGTAAAACATTTGCGCCAACTACAAGTGGAACAACACATCAAGTTCGATTACGCAGGGTTTGCTTATTTTTGTCCTACAAAAAAAAAAAAAACGATAAAATCTTATCAAGTTTTACTAATTTCTGATTTTTCAAACTTTGACAATGATCATAAATGATTTATTAAATTTTACAGAAAAAAAAAAGAAAAATTATATACACTTCATCACGAATACTTTATAAATGATTATCATTGATTGTTTGATTATATATGTCAGATGAAATAATTTGTCTCATTCTAATGGTCATTCTAGAAGAAGGTATCATTTTATTTAAAAAATAGTCGAAAGAATTGATAGATCAAAATTATCCAATAATATTAATTGATTTCAAAATATTACTTATATTATTTAAAATTATTGCAAAATTATTTTATATATTGATAATATTTTAGGATCCATCAACGAATAGTTTTGGATTTAGCGTATCAGATGGTGTTGGTGATAATGCCGGAGTTTTTATCAATGGAATTTTACCAGGTGGTCCAGCAGATCGATGTGGACAAATTTTGCCATATGATAAAATTTTGCAGGTTTATAATTCCCGTTTTTTTTGTTTTTTATTTTTTAAACTTTCCTTTTTCACATTAATCTGATTTTGTCATCAATTATTTGATTCATTTCAAATTTTGAAATGAAAATTGTAATTTATTCAATGATTTACACTTCACTATTTACATTTTGATATTTTTTCTCTGTCAGAAGTTCATTATGAAACAAAAAAAAAAAACGAATTACTTCTATTAGTATGCTACAATACAGTGATAAATGTTTATCAATTAAAATTTTTGCTAATTAATTATTCATATTACAGATAAACGATACATCTCTGCAATATTTGGACTGTGATTTGGCTCTTCCTTTGCTTCAAGTGGATGAGATTGAAATGATACTTTATCGTGAAACTAATTCGTCCACAAATATCATTGATGATGACGAAGAAAGCTATTGTAATAGTATTAATTTAAGCTTACGCTATTCAGCCGTATAAATTACTTGTTTTTCTTTTTTTCTTTTTTTTCCATGAAATGAATTTTCCTCCCTTTTTAAATTTTGTTTTTTCTTTTCTTTTTTTTTTTGCCTGAAACGGGAATTTGTTAATAATTGTATGCGTTGTATTCTTGCGCTTTATTCTTCCTAAATTATTTTATGAAATCTGTAAAATTGAATTTTGAATTTTAGTATGCAAATTTTATTATACCATATATGAATATTTGTATAATTCCATATAATTGAACTGCATGATAATTAGCTATTTTTAGTTAACAAGAATTTTTTAAATAATATCACACTAAAAAACTATTAAATTTTATAGTTACCATTATTTCAATTAATTTACTTTTTTCATTGTGATGATAATAATGATGGTAATAATAATGATAATAATAATAATAG